TCTCCTAAAGGGGCAAATTGTTTTTTCCTACATATATTAGGGGGAATGGGCATTTTAAAGTATAACTCACCCCCTCTGTGCTGCAATTATAGAAATCTGTTATTGTAATCTCCCCATTTTTAGGGTTAATAAACTCCTTGTATTGCTCAAGAAAGTACATGTCTTACAGTGACTACACCTGAAACTATCTTTTGGTTTCTCAGGTACCCAAGTGTGTTTCATTGATGTTTTAGAGGTTTTTTCTAGATGACTATGTACTAACATGTCTCTCAAATTTCTACCCCGTCCATAGGTTATCTAGGGGTCTTTAGATAGGATTTGTGATAGATATTTGTCCTCATGCAAAATGTTCCAATATCTCTGTATGATGATGAAAATCTGCCCTGATTGATTTGAATATTTACCTTTGATACCCATGCCTTGCTGGTCATCCACTTTTATGGTTTTCAGACCCAACAGAGATTCTCTTGGAACCCCTTTCACGTTCTCATAGGATTTAATCAAATCAGTCTTATGATAGCCACGTCTCATAAATCTGTCAAACAATTTTTGACTCTCTATTTGGAATGCCCCTTCCATTGAGCAATTTCTCTTTGCTCTGATAAATTGACCAGTTGGAGTTCCTCTTTTCAAGGCTGCTGGATGTGAACTTCCCCAATGTAACAGGCTATTCATGGAGGTCGGTTTTTGATAGACTGTTGTATTAATATTGCCTCCTTCACCCCTTTTAATCTCCAAGTCCAAAAAATGTATTTGATTTGGTCTGGTGTTATTAACCATTTGGATGTAAGGTAAATAATTGCAATGGTATCCAGTTATATTGTTGTGTGCAGTATATTCCACTCCAATAGGCATTAATTACAGCTGAGCATACATTTTTTATACATTTGACTAAAGGTTATATACTGTATGTTAGATTCATCAATTGGCCAGATGGTGCGTAGGGAAACACACCTTCATTCAGTATAGATTTGTTATTTGCCAAAGATGATGATTTACAATTAGGGCTTAGTTCAATACTTAATGGATATTGGCTGGAAAGTCAATTGGACTAGCGAAAAAATCCACCTGAAAGGTTGATCACACAACTGCTGATAATTCCTCTGAACTTTTGCTGACTGCTTGCTGCTCAGCTGTCTCTACTAATAATGCAGCCTTCTAATCCATAGAGGATATCAAATAAATAAATGGACTTTAAGTCAGCATATCATCTGAATATAACACTCTATTGAAAGTGATACCATCAATTTAAAGAAAAAGCTGATAGCATTGGTCAATCTGCTGCTGTTGGATATCTGCCCATAGCTTTTTAATGCCAAAAACTTGTGGAATATGTAAGATACCTTTACTTGCGCTAGCCAACACCTCATATGAGTGGAGTAATCTAAACTGGGATCTTGAATTTGGATCAATGTGGCAGAAGCAGATAGGCCATGAGTATGGTCCCCGGGGCCACAACTCTATACCTACGGTAGTTAAATTTGGATACCTATGGGAATGCGGTGATTGTCCACACTATAATCTTGTGCTACATATTTTTCATTGTGAAGTCCGGACGTCACAATAATGTACTTTCATTTTACAGTATATGCATGTGTTATACACTTTGGTTTGGTCAAGGTGAACTCTGCATTGTATGTTTACAATTTAGAGATTACCGATACTTTTTTATATCTTTTTGATACTTTGGAATAAATAAATGTAACAATTTATTAATCCATGTAAGACTATTTGCCATTAATAATCTCTTTTTGTTACCCTACCCTGGGGCATGAATTGGGATGAACTTTTTCTTTCATTTTGCACTTTCATACTTTGTTACTTTGCTATCTCCTATAAGAAAAGAAAAAAGGGGGAGGGGGTTACAAAAATGTGTATTATTCACTATATAAAAAAAAATTATTGTAGTATTGAAAAAGTTACAGCCACATATTTCTATAATTTTACAATGATATTCTTTATGATATTGTGAATAATAAACAATGCTTGTACTTTTAAGCTGGGTTCACACTGGTGCGCCACGGTTTGGCTGCAGGGTGGTTGCATTTGCAGTTTTCATGCATTTTACCAGCTGTTTTACCTGTAGCCCCATAGACTTCTATTAGGTTATGCATGCTGCATTTTTTAAAAAGAGCATCAAAAGTCCTGCATGCTGCATCTTTGGTGCACTTTCAGAAAATGCAGCAAAAACGCATTACCTAATAGAAGTCTATGCTACTTTGGCTAAAACCATGGGGGAAATACATGAAAACTGCAGATACATCAGTGTCAGCCGTATTTAACAAATGTGTAATACTTTGGAACCTTATAAGACCACTTACAGTGGTTATAAACCCTTTGCATCTACACAGTGAAGTGACTGGCATATACCCAGTGAAGCCTCAGGTGATAGACAGAGATGAAACAAATCCTCCTACAGAAGTTTTACCTGTATATCTGCAGTCTTCTCTCTACTGTACATCTGTTCAAAGCCCTGAATGTATAAAGCTTGTCTGAGATGTCAGCAAAAAGGGGGCAGAGAGCTTAATTACACTCTGTAGAGCTCAGTGAGAAGAGTTCTGAGAGCTGATTGGAGGGAAGAGACACAACCCTCTTCACACCGCACATAGGAACAGAGCTGAGGCTGTCAATCTGCTGAAGGTTCCTCCCTTGTCACCTTTCTTCTGTTGGTGTCAGGAAAACTTGTTAGAAGTGATTCATAGTAATAGCAGAGGAACAAAGTAGCAGACAGAAATGACGCTTAGTGCTTTGAACAGAGACAAGTAAAAACTACAGAGGAATAGGCTTTGTTCATGCTTATTTCATGTCTGATGTTTACAACTGCTTTAATTCTAAATAACGCCTCCTTTTTTCCCCCTTCTCCCTTTTTTTATCTGATTCTTATCTTGAGCAGTGCCACTCACCGCTGCTTTAGAAAATAGGCTTTGCTTAGACAGCAGAATTAGTCTGAATGTCGTTAAATCAAGACAAAGGGTAATATAAAAAATTAGACTGGGCCAAGGGTTATTTTTCACATACAAAAAATACAAAAAAAAAATATGGCTGGATTGACACTTATGTGCTTTGTCCTGATGCATTTTCCATTGAAATTACCAGAAATATATCAAAACACATAACGGCACAAAATGCATCATGGCACACATCAACACAGGTCATTCCTAGATTGTAAGCTCGAAAGAGCAGGGCCCTCAATCCCCTCATGTTTTGCATTGTATTGGTATTGTTCTGTCACATGTTCTGTCCCCCTCTGTAATGTACAGCGCTGAGCGAACTATTGGCGCTTTATAAATACTGTATAATAATAATGGATATTGACATGCAACGTAAAGTGCATTGCCATGTACATTTGAACATGTGTCAACATGCAACAATATGTGCTGGAGTGCATTTTTATTCATTTCAATGCAAAATGCATCAGAGCCAAAATACATACTGTAAGTGTGAATCCAGCCATAATCCTCATGAAATGTTGAGATGGAAATGCAGAGTTACACTTTAATGCCTAGCAATGATTAGTATATACTGCTATACAATATATACATAACAAAAGACTGGGTGAACAATAGCATAACAGGTTTATTTGAATAATAAAACAGCACATAGTCAATATGGTAACCAAGGTCTGGCCAGACGGCTTCTGTCTGTTTAGTAATTTCTTTAATTACAGTGGCTCTAATCAAACATAGAAAGTCCAGAGAGAACTGGCTGGTTACAAAGGATTAGACCGCAGGGGTCCCATCTAATTTTCAGTGACTTAGCTCATAATTTTCCAGTGGTGCTTCTGAAACCAACTCCAGTAAAATCCAGCTCGGACAGCAGATGGTAAGGATTTATTTTCTGTAGATTTTCATTTAGTACAAAACTGTATTGTAATCAAGAAATGATGGACTTTATTGTAAAGGCATTAATATTTTTGTTGGACAGAAGATATGATAACATTTTGATTTAGTGTATATGATTTTCTTTTAAGTCCTGCCTGGCAGAACATTCATCAGAACAGCATTATCCCATAAGCCAGGACTAGGATACTTCTACCAGAAAGCAGGGCATTAAAACACACATCTGTATGGCAGACAATGCAACAGCATACACTTCTGCCTGGGCGAGAACACTGCCCTTCAGAATCAATAAATAAAAAAGCTCAAATTAAAATAAAAAACATAAGGCAGGTGGTTATTTTACTGCGTGTTATTTTGCTTTTTTTTCAATCTAAAATTGACTTTTCTATTTACCAGAGGCATCACTGCATGGATCAGCTGAGTTTACTGCACTCACATTATTATATTGATTTTTTGGGGTGTTTTTTACTGTAAAAATCAGTTCAGAAAACGTCATAGTTTATCGCTTCATAAAATACTGCTCCTTTTGACAATAACAGTGAGTCTCAGTGAGGTGTCTGTTGGGGAAAGCAAAAAAGGCTTTCAACTTTAAAATGTCCATACCTAACTGACATTTATACTTAAGAATTGAGGGTTGTAGGCAGGGGCAGACTGACAACTCAAGGGGCCCCTGGGCAATAGGGGATCATGGGGCCCCTGTGTGCTATCCCACATTCAAACCACACCCAAAAAAATCCTATGAAAGGTACCAGGGGCATCTCATGGGGCCTCCTACTGACCCTGGGCCCTTGGGCATTGCCCGAGTTCCCAAATGGTCAGTCCGCCCCTGGTTGTAGGTTACGTGCACACTAGGCATTTAGCCCATGTGCATCCAGTCTCTGCGTTCTAGTGAGCCCGGAAGTTGTAGGGGCAGTGTTCAGTCCTGCTGCCTGCAACCTGTTAGGTCTATGGCAGGCTGAAATATGCTACATGTTAAGGGATGTATGCCCTGAATGCAGAATACCTACATTGCAGTCAGTGCAGGGACTAGATCATCCAGTGCCCAGGTCAAGGATGTCAAATTGCATCCCTCCCACCTTAATGTGCAAGCTCATGAATGGGGGGGGGAGAGAGCACAGCATGCATCTTCTTTTGGCTCTCTCCTCTTCTCCTTGCTGCTTCCAGTGCAGGGCTGGCAGAAGTAGTGATACCACTGCCACTACTCCTATCCAGGGGCGGACTGACCATTTGGAAACTCGGGCACTGCCCGAGGGCCCAGGGTCGGTAGGGGGCCCCATGAAATCCCCCTGGTACCTTTTTCATAGGTTTTTTTGAGTTTGGGCAAGGACACAGGGGCCCCATGATCCCCTATTGCCCGGGGGCCCCATGAGTTGTCAGTCCGCCCCTGCTCCTATCAGTCTTATAGTAGAAGGAAGTTGAAGTGCCCTCAATTCTATAATACATGCTGTGCCCAGGGAAGCCAACCCATCTGCCCTCTCCTTTTCCCAGTCCTGGCTGCAGTCATATGTTCCTGAATACATATGGCACTAAATGGAAGTACTACTGTGAGCAGTGTTCAGTCCCATCCAGTTACAGCATATTTCAGCTTACCATAGACTTTGAGAGGTTAGTGGCAGCGGGGCTGGTTACTACACCTGTGAAATTAGCCACCTCACAGCTAAATGTAAAAAAGAGGTAGGAATGATGGTAACATATATTACCTAATATCACATTGCTCAAATATGGTCATGTGGCCATACTGCGTCTAGGATATCACCAGCATCCCTGACTCTTTCTTAGGCTGCAGGATAAGGAATTCCATGCTTGCAGCTGACTGGGCCAGTGGCTTGCTATCATGTGATAGTTTCCTTTGAGTTCAGAACTGAACCTTAGCTCGTTTCTAGGCGTCAATGAGGATGAGTTGCATGAAGAGTCGCAATAAAGAAAATCTCCAGCACTTTATACACGTATGTTTCCTTCACTCCCCCACTGTTTAACCACTGGGTCCAAAAAAAACCCCTGCATTTCAGGTATAGGGGGCCATGTGACAACACTGGTGTTTGGTGTTTAGCCTTGCACTGTCAAATGGAGATCAAGAGTACTCACCTCTATGTAAGCTTCAAATGAACGGAATCAAAGCATACATATGGCTTTGATTCAATGCAACAGATCTGTTTCTGTGCCCGGTATGTTAAACAGGGTATACATGCACAGTTTTTTTTTTGTTCAACCAGCAGGTTGGGGTGGAGAGGGAAGCTATGTGACCCTGTGGCGCAACTCATAGGGGAGGGGCTTGATAACGTCACGACGCTCGAGATTTGCTGATACACTTACATTGTCACATCAGAGGAGCGGAGGCTTTCTGTGTATGCTTATAAAGGGCATTTTTAGATCCATATGCGCATAATATCTGGTGCGATTGAGCACCTGCACAATGTGAGTGGCCATTTTTTATGTTTTTAATAAAGTGGTATGTTTTAAAGGATAAAGCGCTAGTGTGTTTTACTAATTGTTTTTTTTACATGTATGCTGAGTGGAGGAGGAAAGATTAAAGGGATCAGTTTTCTTTTGAGGAAGAGCCAATATACAAAATACACCGGCCACTTTATGTCCACTTCAAGGGACACATGCATTTTTTGACCTTACTATATGTAAAGGTCAAAAACTCCAAGTGAGGGTACATCTGGTGTTTGTGGTGGAGGATTACGTTTTATGAAGATATGGAGTTATGAAGTTTGTTGAAGTTGAAGAGATCACAATAATAAGAGACTTTGCAATTATATATGTTCACTATTTTTAATATAATTTTGTTTGCATTCACATATATTTTAGGCACTATTTAAAGGAAGTGCAGCACTATATGTTTATTTATTTGAATCACGCAGACGTTATGAGTATGTGTACATGTGAGCTGCTTTCTGTATTGTAGTTGTTGATTTTGCATATAAGGGAGTAGATTTGTAGTATTTGAGACTGCTCGTGAGAATCTGTTGATTATATTTGTACCCTTCAGCTTTTTATTACAGCCTGTGGCCCAATTAGGGTGCTTCATCTTTTTCTATTCATTTTGTGTACTGTTATCGCCAAGAGTGAAAGACAATCCCAAATTTTGGATTGTCATTAGAATAGGAAATCTTCCAATGGGGACACTAGTTCTGTTGACCCTGGTGACAACTAGGGACTTCATCACCTTGGAAAGATTTCCTTTCACTTCCTGTTTTGTCTATGAGACAGGAAGTTAAGGGAAATCTCCCTAAAAGGGCACAGATGGAAAAAAAACTGGCAGGTAGTATAGCCCTCCTTTACCCTATCCAAAAGGAAAAACTGTATTGCCTTTTGTTCTATGATAAACCTGAATTTTTGCTAAAAAAACCTACAGCTTCTCATCGTGGAGATGTGTTGCAGATATGGTGGTCATGCCCAAAACTGATTCGTTTTTGGTCTCGTGTATTTGGCCTCCTTTTCACCTTGTTCCAACTCTCCATAGGCCGGGAGGCTCATACGCTTTGCTTCATTGTCCCATACCGGGCCTGTTGGCTCGCAGTAAAAGTTGGCTTCTTATTTATTTTTGTCAGCCACTAGAACAATTGCTCAGGCATGGAAAAGCCTGCCTGTCCCTCTTCAGGGGAAAAGGGACTGTATGACCACTCTGATGCTCAATGAGCAGATGTTGAGTATCTGTAACGACTCCCAATGGAAATTTTTGAAAATATTGGAGCCATGGTTGACATATGCTTTTCCCACGCTCCCCCCACCCCAGCTAGTCTGGGTTTGTGATGTTGTTCGGTATTGGCGTTCCCGAACCCCTGCTCCTGGTCTTGTCATCTTCTTCCTTTTCTGCTCCTCTTTCCTTTCTATTTTTGTTTGTCTTTTGTGAGGTGGTGGACAGCTGCCTTTGAGCTACTGTCAGTGTTATATCACTGTTTTTGTAATCTATGTGCCATTGATACCCCTTGCATGGGCACACCTTTTGCTCTGTTGGTGTTAGAGCACTGTTTTCTTTACTTTTTATGTGCAATTGATAGCCCCTGCATGGGCGTGTCTTGTTGCTCACGTTTTCTTGAAATGTTTATAAATTAATAAAAACCATTGAAATACAAAAGACCTACAGCTTTAGTTAAATCACTGCACCAGTAATGAAGGATGTCCTGTGTTGTGTAGGCAGCTGGCTCCTGGAGAAACATTCAATGCAGGGATGCCTGTCCTCTGCCTGTATCAGAATTTCCAGCCCTGCATTGGTTAACAGCTTCAGGATTTCCTCATTCCTCCTCCTCCATTGAGAAATATTCTCACATTGATAACTCTGCCTGTTACACAATTGGTGAATGGAAAAGATCAGACTGATTAGACTCAATCAGAATTAAATGAAGAACCTTTTTTCAATTGAGGAGGAGAAATGCGGGGGCATATCCCTGCCAGACCATCTGTACTGCTGCTCTGGCTGAAGACCAAGAGGTGTTAACCACTGCAACACTGAAAGTTCAGAGACAAGAAGAGGACAGGGCATTCCTGCAGTGAAGATTTCTCCAGGATCCAGCTGCCTGCACAGCATAGGACATACTTTATTGCAGGTAGGGGATGTGATTAAAGCTGTGGGGATTTTTTTTAGGCTAAACTTCAGTTTACATCGCTTACTGATTGACTCAGTATCTCTGCTGGAAGTCTGCACCAAGCCACCACTACCTTTTGTGTAAACGAACACTCTCTTTCTAATGGCTCATTCACATTATGTGCAGTTACCGGCCATTTTCATCATGGATTAACACATGTAACTGCAATTACACACAGAAAATGTTTTTCTATGTGTCACATTCACACCAGAACTCAGGGTTTCACTGTTTTCCAGAGCTGTGTGATATTATGAGACATATTTGCATAATATCATACCTCTCTGGATGGTCCTGCGTGTCACTAAACAGCAGTTTCATGCAGGAAGTGGCACTTGTGCATGCAGCACCCTCCTAAGTAGCTAGGGGGAGCTAGATAATTCAATTTATTAGTTATAGGCTGAGTAAAATCCTGGAGGAATAGTCAATAGGGTACAAATTTTGGTCAGGGCTGAGAGGCTCTGCAGACCAGCTCTCTGAAACTTACCTCTGATCTAGAGACTTGGAGAAAGCTCAATAATTCAGTAAGCGGGGGTGAGGAGTGGCTGGTCTTCACACTCAAGGGATCCTAGTTAATCCCCAAGCAGGAAGCTTGGAATAGGGTCAGGACAGTCCTTAAAAATGACCGTGACTGCTCAGCAGCAGGAGAGTTCGGGTGGAAGATGGACTGAGCAGGATGGTGTGTGGAGCCTAGCAGGGAAGGAGATAATGCCTGAAGGCGGCCACCAATCCACAAGCTTTCAGGAGAGACTGAGTGAGTAACCCCACACACCTTGTGCCAGGAAAAAGGTAATTTTGAGTGAGAAACTTGTCTACCCCCCCCCCCCCTTCTTGGACTGCTTTAATTTAAGGTGGCAGCTTCTGGGACATCTTAGCCAGGGATTCCCTCAGGCAGCTGGGTGAAGAGGAGATTTCATCTGGGGTCTGAGGAGGTACTCAAGGAGAGGTTGGCTAGCTCTCTAATAAGAGAAGAGAAAACCCTTCTGACTACGTGTGCATAGTTCCAAGAAGTTGTTCCCAGTTTTACAGTTCCTTGGGCATCCCATGTATCCCTCATCACCATCCATGTTATCATTCCCTAGTTCAAGGACTGTTTACTGTCTCTGGAGTGCAAGATTTCGAGGAAATGTGTGTAGCATGGCTGTGCAGGACTATAGGGGGACCTTTATCTCTAGCGATTCCTAAGGGGGTAGTGCTACATGCACTTGACATAACGTTCTCTCCAAAAAAAAAGGGTGGCTGTGTGATGCGATAAAATGCACTTCATTCCGTTCCCTGCTGCATGGCTCTGCAGCTTATAAATGCTGGGACCTGCACATTAAAATGCTTCAATTTAGTGTGCTGGCATCAGCGTTTTGGGCTGTGTGCTAATGTGAACAGCCCTGACTGTCAATGTGATCATTTAAAATCAGAAAACCACTACCACATGACCATTTCACATTTCCTTAAAAAAAAAAAAAAATATGCACTCTCCTGAGCTACATTCCCCTTGGTGTTGGTGATCTGTTCTGCTTTTTTGAGATGAGGTAGCTGGCAGATTAAAACATCTGTCATAGGCGAGAGAAAAATGTAAAAGTCTTTTATTGTTCAGCGCAGCCAGTGAGATGGTAATGTCTATGCAGATGGTCAGCAAGAGGTTGATCACAATCTACCCATTGATCACTGCCATATGACAGGTAGATCATGATCACACCATGTCATCAGCTACTGACCCCCACCTGCCACCTCATAAAATCTTCAATAGGCTTCACAGAGCCTATAAGTCCCAGGCTCCTCCTTGGCACTGAAGTGTCATATGTCAAATCCAAAGGGATTCCAGGGAGGACTTGCTTTACTCTGCAATGCAATGCTGTATCTGAGGTCGAGTGAGTGAATTTTACAGAAGCAGACGGTATGAGGAGCTATGAATAAGGTCTGTTTTTAGACTGAAACGGTTAGCGTAAGTTTGCCATGGAATA